GTAGATCAAAAAGTTGAACAGGAGTGCCATTCTAAGTAGCTTGGTATAAGGTTTTGCACTGCATTTGGAAAAAAAATAGAAACTACTTCTTAGTTGAAAAGAAGATTTTTTTACCAGTAGTTTGGTCTATAATAAGATGCATAAAGGTAGCCTAGGTGAGAAACCTGCTCTTATCAGGATGGGCTTCTTAAAAGGTGTTGATTTTAAGTGGATTATATCATTAATGAAATTATTTTAAATAAAATAGATTTCCATCACAAACATGCTAAATCCATATCTAATTAATTATAGAATTTTTTCACACACATGAAAACCCTATTTCCAATAATAGCCAGCCAAATATCTTCAAGAGCCACTTCAAAATACTTTGCTATAATATGTCATTCCTTGTTTCCCATGTGCTATTGGCAGTGACGGCAAAAGATGCAAAATCAATACAATCATAAGCTCTTGTGCTGATATGATCCTTTATTTTTTTGGGGGGGGAGGGGTTGTGCAAAAAGACTCAATATTCAGGACTAGGAAGCTGGATGCATTTTCTTTGACTTCTACTGCATATTTATCTAATATGTTATCTAAATGCTATAAATATTTTAATAAGTAACCTGCCACACATATAGGACCATTCCTTTTTCATATATACAGTCTTAATGTCTATTTGAGATAGAATAATTTAAGATGGTTATATGACTGTGGTGCTCAGACCTTTCTTGAATAGGTTAATACTGTTTTCAATCTGATTTTGATGTTGCAGCTCTAACACAAAGCAGGATAAGGAGCAAGTAATTATGGTTTCACGGTCCTATTTAGTCACCTCTAACTTTCAGAAAGGGATGCTTTTTAATATCCTTCCAAGTGTATATTTTAATTTATTTCATTAACAATTCAACAGTTTCAAAGGTTTACAAAACTATCTCTTCATGGATAATTGCTTATCATGCGCTATATATATAATTATTACTCTATTTTGATCTCAGAAAATTATGTACTAACAGTGGAAAATATTTAATTGCATTTGCCTAAATATAGTAAAATCTTCCTCCCAAAACATACTTTTATCCCACAAAAAAGAAATATACAATTTATTAGCATATAGCAATCCTACTGAAGCATATTTTTTCAAAATTAATATAAACTATTGCTTTTTACTACACGTGATTATTCTGAGGGACAAAATAGAATTCAAGCATGGTTCTTGTGGACTTCTAATCCTTTAAATTAAAAAAAGATAATTAAGAGCCAAAATATTATGGTAAAACACTGTAGCATGTAGAAAGATCACTGGTATAATCACAAGCACATGAAGATAGGGAGAAGAAAGATTTCTTTCTGAAACTCCAAACAGTTGTTGTCCATTGGTATAGACAACATTGGTCTAATTAATACAATTATACAAACTAATAGGCTAATCTAACAGAAACCTGTTTATTTCCCTGTCACTTTACTTTCAAGTGTTATTACTCTCTAATTATACTATGAATATAGCAGAGAAAAAATGCACCACATAATAATTCTGAAAGGTTTTTTTTAGATGACCAACCTTAACAGCAGTTGGTCAGTGTATTTTTTCAAAAAAATAAGACACAAATATTAACTAACACATTTAACTTTCCCTTTCAGTTATCTCGTGTATTTGGGGTTATCACAACAAGCTGCTTAGCATCATGCAGCTTACCCAACTGAAAAGAGACTTCTAAACTATATTTTAGAATTTTGTTTTATTAGACAAAAACTGTGGGCATGGCAATGGTAGTAGCATCATTTATACCCATTCATTCCCCATCTTTCACAAGTATAAGATCTGAGTGAGCAGTTATCTAAACAAGTAAATTAATTTGAATATCCAAAACTGTAACTGATAATCACCCTGAACTAGACTGACTTGTTGGTATTTTTACACAGAACCAAATCAAATCTCAATAAACAAGAAACACCATCTAATGAATGCCATGCATGCTGTTTATATTCCTAGTAAAAGATAACATGCAAGATACCTGTTCACTGGCATACATCACTTTTCTCTCTCTCCCCCCCCCCCAGCTCCCTACAAATTTTTTGAATTTGCCTTGGAGGCCTAGGGGGTCATTCAGAGCAGATTTGAAGGCAAGGAAGCTGCAAAAGGCAAACAGCCAAACCGGTACTGAGAAAATATGGTGATACAGTACTGGAACCTAGCCCACAACATTCAAAATAACAATGTTAACCCATATATTTATTCTAGAAGTCCCAACACCCCCCCCCAAAAAATCTTGTCAAATATATCCACCTTTGAATCCAGAATACCATGGAAATTAATCTCTACTATTGGATAGGTTCCTATAGGAAGAATAGCTTTAGAGTTTCAAGGAGATAGACAAGATTAAAAAAACCAAAGATACTCAAGTTCAGTTTTCAAGTACCTGGACTTTTTCCTACCCCTGAAAAGGCCCAAACCAAATTAAACTTTGCAACCAAAATAGATATTCGGAAGGGTCAAGAACAAAAGTTCACACAGACACACACCCCGAAAGTGGGGTTCTTCAGCACCCAGCAGAAGTTTCCAACTGGCCGAGCGAAACGGCGCCCTTTGGAAACCCGCTTCTTCGGGAGGGGGGACGTTAATGACTCCTTTTCAGAGTACCAGAGTCATTAGGGGAGGCCCCTCTCTGGCTTCCCCAAAGGAACAGGCCAATAAGGTCTGTGGACGGCAAGCGAACACGCCCCCCCCCTTCAGGCCCGGCGATGCCCCTCCTCAGGCCACTCACCAATCCATGCCCCGCCCTCGCCGGGAACCCAGGAAGGGGAGAAGGGGGCGTGGCGGCGGCGGCGGCGGCAACAACCTCGCGCTCTCTTTTCGTTGACAGCCTCGTCAACGTCTGCAAGAGATTCACGCCGCCCCCTCGGACCACCAAGGAGCATGCGTACCTCACCCTTGAAGTCTCCCCCCCCCAACCCCCGACAAGTAGAGAGACCGGGCCGCGCACTGGGAAGAATGAGGCGACCGACCCCCTCTCCACCAATCACCCGGCGAACGCGCTCTCTCAGAATGCCTCCGCGCGGGGATCACGACCCGCTCCTCCGCTCAAGCCCAAAGCGGAGAAAGGCGCGCTCTCGAGATCTCAGCGAAGCCCACTTCCCTCCCCACTCACCCCCACCCCTCCAACCGCCACACGCATCCTCTTGCCTTCCACTGCCCCTAACGCGCCCCTCGCAGCCAATCGCAGCGCAGCGCGCCCGCTGCCGTCTGCCACGCCCCTTCCTCGCGCGCGCCCTACATATACTCGCATGTCATTGCCCAATCACAGTTCAGCGCGGGCCCAATATTTGGTCGTCTTTTACTGTCGTGCTTACTGCCTCACCTGCGCTGGAAAAAAATAAGGCGACGATCGTCCCCTCCCGTCCCGAATTCCGTATCTCCGGGAGGGAGGGGCACTCGTTGTTCTCTACTCTGGTGGCGTCCGTTTGTCCTTCCTTCCGTTCCTTAGGGGGGCGGACTCGCTGCCAGTTCCGCCTTTCCCCCAAACTGTGGCGGTACTCCCGACGGAAGTGACGTCACTCAAGTGGTCGCCCACTCGCTGTTCGCAAAATCCGCCGGAGATGCTGGAATTTCAACAAGCGGAGGAGGAGGATCGGCGCGCGTTCGGTTCTTGGCCAATGCAGAAGCCGGGATGGCTGCATACAAAAGCTTCTTGGTAGTTGCAGATGGAAAATCTATAAATGACTTAGCACTAAACCAGAAATTTCAGAGACGTGCACCATTCCGTGTGTTTTCCTAAATTGGGAATATACTGGAAGCAGAAAAAGTAGGAATAACAAATTCTCCCAAATGCTTTCGCATATGTATTTTATAAAACCCAATACATATTAGGCATTAAAGCAAAAGTATTAAAGAAAATTGTTAATCCTAGGTAAGCATGCATCGGATCTTTTTGGACATCCCAATAAATTTACTTAAAAAACACCACACCATGCAATTCACTTGAATCCTTACAATCATCTTTTAATTATCTCTTTCGTTTGTGCTTGTTTTTTATGATCCTTGTCATCGCACTGCCAATAGCCCGCATTTCTGGAAACTGCAATAGGATTCATGCACACCGTTTAAGCGTGTCTTAAGGCAAGAAATATTTATCGTAAATTCTAAATCCCATGGGATGGAAAATAATAAACCTTTCCCGAAAACAGTTTTCTCTTCCCATCAGTGCTAAAAAGTATTTTTCATGTCTATCCAGTTGAGTCCACTAGGATTTGGGGGAATTAAAAAAATGATCAAAAAACAATTTCTATGTAGAATAGAATAACTTTATTGTCACTTTAAATGTACACTAATAAGCATACGTTAAAATGAAATTTCGTTGCATTCAGCTCTCTTAGAGGAAAGTACACCTATTACATTAATTGTGTTGCATAATTTGTTCTTCAGCTTATTATTAAAAGCAAGGGATAAAAATGCAAGGCACTGTTGGATCGTGTAAAAAAATGAGACCTTAAGCGAAGATTAAAACTTCTTTCAGGTAACTGACTTCTCAAATTCTGAGCACTGCCCATACAGTTTTAAGCAAGCCTTTGAATCCAAGACATTAGTCACGGGGAAAAAAAAAAAACCCCAAACAGTCCCAGGAAATAAATATCATGCCCTTTGAGTTAAAGAAATAGCAGAAGAAAGAATGGCTGCTACAGTTTAACACGCCGAACTCTTTTTAAAGCGTGGAAATTGAGCTCGCAGCAGTTTCCTAGAATTCTTCCCTGGATTATGTATCAAGCCGCATTTCTAGAAAAGAGGAGATTCTAAATAGAGAAAGGAACATGCCAGAAGAAGGCAATGGGACAACTCATGTGGTGGCCAGGAAAACTCCACGGACGGGGTGCTGATGTCACAAGCAGTCGAACTCGACCTTAACTTTGGTTTTTTTCTCCTTTCCAAGAGCAACTGCTTTGGAACACGCCTCCCGGCTGCTCACATCCTCTTCCTGGTCTGTAGGTGGCGAGCGAGGCTAAGTGAGCGGAGCGAGTGCCCAGGAAGGGAGGTGTGGTCAGGACGTGGAGCCGAGACCCGCCTCTTCCGGGGATCCGGCGGCAGCGTTGGTGCTGTGTTGCTGCCATGGCAGGGGAGGTTCGGTGGATCTACCGGGGGGATCCCCAGGAGGGGCAGAGCGCTCCGATAGGTGAGACTCCCGTGGGGAAGTGGAATCTGTCGCATTGTGATGGTGGTTTCTTCGAGGCTCTTGTTCCACTCAGCTTTACCGGGTTTTAGTTTGTCCACGCTGGGAGCCCTGCAGGAGGCGTGGACAGCGCGATAGGGATTGTAAAAGAGGATGGGGTAGGCAATCTTGGCTCTTTTATGATTCGTGGACTTCAACTCCCAAAATAATGCTGGCTCAGGAATTCTGGGAGTTGAAGGCCACGAGTCATAAAAGAGCCAAGGTTGCCTACCCTTGGGATAGGAAAAAGTCTTGAGTCCTCGAACTGAGTGGTTCCTCCAAGGCCAGAAGCAGTAAGGAGGAACGGGTGGTGCTCTCGATCAAGAGAAATGAATGCACAGGTAGTCCTCGACTTATTGTTTGTTTAGTTCATTTAGTGACCGTTCAAAGTAACAATGGCACTGGGAAAAGAGACATGACCGGTTTTCACACTTAGGACGATGGTTGCATATCGCCATGGTCCTATGGTCAAAATGCAGATGCTTCCCAACTGACTCAAGATCAAATTGATTTAAGCATATTGAGATCTGCTTAGGTGTGACAACCTTTGGTGAGGATGATTTTGATTTCTTCTAGAATTCTTAATTGCTCTTCTCTTGCTGTTCAATTTCAGTTCAGTTTACAAATGGGAAACTGAAGAATCCTGAAAATATGAATTTCACTTTGTACAGAAGCAAAAACATCAGTAATCCCAGAAAGAAGAATTATACAATTTTGGTAATTGCAAACTTGTTCCGTGTTTTTGTGTTAATTTAAATATGTTGATCTATTCAATTTATGATACGCATTCGTTCCAGTGCAATCATTCATGTCTCTATTGAATTTCATAGCACCAATTTCCCTTTAAGGTATCTGCTCTGTGTGAGAATTGATGTCATACAGATGAAAATTTATCTTTTATAAAATTCCAAGAATGGAAGATCTTTTCAAATTGCTTCTTGTCATTCTACTGTATAATGCCAAGTCTAGGGTCTGAGAATCTTAGCTGCTTCAGTGCATAACTTTAAAAACTGTACACAACTAGACCCATGAAAAGTGCATACATGTTTGAGTTATATTAAATAAAAACTTCATATGCATGTATTTTCACTGCCTAGAAGTTTTGGTATAATTTATTAGGCATATAAGGGTTAATTGCATATGTGAGTATTAAATCTGAAATTTGTTATTAGTTATGCCCATGCATATTAAATAAATTAATAGAAGAAACAATTTAACCATTAGCCTCCTGTTACCATCATGCAGTAAGGAAGTTATAATTGCTGTTATCAAATTCTCACTTTTGAATTGAATACCTCTGGTAGATTTTTGTGGAAAATGCATTTGTTTTAAAATGATATACCGTACATTAATATACGCAATGTAATTTAGTGAATTAAAATGCAATAATGTCTGTCTAAATCATACAGAGTCAAAAATCAGTTGATACATAAAATTTTAGTATACAATATACAATACCAAAAGACAGCAACATAAAAAGTTCAGAGATGTATAGGTGCTTGGGTCAAAAGCAATTAATAAAATATCATAGACACTGTTCTCTATTTTCCTTGATATCTGCTTGAACCTATGTATATATTACATTGCTTTCAGGATATAATTTTTAATAAAAATAAAGGACAATTTCTGATTGAGTACAATAAGTAAAACCAACTTACATAGCTGGGCTTAGTAAACATTAGTAAACATTTAACTGAGATATATTAGAGGAGACTATAGATCTGCTTACTTGGCATTCATTTATACTTTGTTGTAATTAATTCATACCTGGGAAGTCTTAGGATAAAATGGGAAAACCTTCTGGAAAATGCCTTTACCTAGAAAACCAGCATCCATAGCTTATAGCCTCTTTTTTTTTTCCCCCATTCAGAATGCAGAAACAGATCGGCTGTCTTACGTAGGAAATAACTTTGGTGCAGGAGCCCTAAAATGCAATACTCTCTGCAGGTATAATGAATAAGCCTGTATCTCTAAAATGCATTAAATAATATTTATTGTATTTATTGTATGAATATATAGAAATTTATTTTCTTTAGCAAGTCAGAATTAGCCAAGCATTAATAACTTCAGAGTAACAATACTGATTTCCTCTCAGTGCCGTAATACGATATTTGTGATTCAAAGTGATAAATAAGACAGTCTGTTTTGAGGATTGATGGGGATTGAAAGCAAATCATAATGCATGCCTGAAAATATATTACAGTGATGCTTCTATATGATCAGAATAGAAGAAATTCTTGTGTTTTATGGTAATTGTCTATTGCATTTTTTTAGTTTTGGAATTTTATTTGTAAGATGTACATGTTGTTTCAATCAATACAGTCAAATTAACAGTTTAAAGTACAGGTAGTCCTTCACTTACAACTGTTCATAATAGTGACCATTCAGAGTAATAACAGCACTGAAAAGAGGGACTTATGACCATTTTTCACACTTGTGACCGCTGCATCATTCCCATGGTCGCATGGTCGGAGGCTTGGCAACTGGTTCATATTCATGACGGTTGCTGGGTCCCGGGGTCATGTGATCAACTTTTGACAAGCAAAGTCAGTGGGGAAGCCAGATTCACTTAAGAATTGTGTATTGAACAACTGCAGTGATTCATTCAACAACTGTGGCGAGAGAGGCCGTAAAATGGGGCAAAGCTCACCCAACATGTCTCGTTTAGCAACATAACATTTTGGGCTCAACTGCAGTCATAAGTCGTGCACTGCCTGTAGTAGTTTGTGCTATAGTTAACACAATCTGAAAGTTGGGGAGGTAAAAGGAAGGGGAAAAAATAAGTATAAGTCACATAAAGAGCCACTTTGATGTTCTGTAGTGGTTAAGGCACCAAGCTAGAAACTGGGAGACCTGGCTTCTTAGGCTCTAACCCACATCTTGGGTACAAATGACCAGACTGGGTCACTTTCTCTCAGCCCTAAGAAGAAGACCATGGAAAACTCACTTTCAAAATCTTGCCAAGAAAATTGAATGGACTTGTCCAGGCAGTTGCCAGGGTCAATACTGATTCGTCTCCCCACCCTCCTGAATTCACATAGAGTTTGTAGTGCAAAGGACAAATCTAGGAAGAGTTGAATAATAATTGGTTCTAATGGAGCTACAGTAGTGGAGTTGATTTAGTAATCTGGGGAAAAGAAGAGCTGTCTAGTTCAGCATTCAAGTAACCTTAGAGACTTCGTAATAGTTTTAAAGTACTATTTTGTAGTTTTAAAAAAATAACATGGAAGGGAAGGGAAGGGAAGGGAAGGAAGGAAGACACTAAATGTAAATAAATCTGATGGGCTACAGCCAATATTTTGGAAACTGAATCTAATTTGTAATTTTCTGTCTTTGTCCCTTCTGCCTCTTCGTCTATTCCCCACACCTACATGGGAAATCCTCTATTACATTTTTAAGAGGTATAAAGGGAGTTGTAAAGAAGTTTTTTAAAAAAACCCATTCTATTGTAAAATGCTATTTCTGACACTTCTGAAGCCGGACTAGCCATTCTAAATTCTTCTAAAATTAAAGAGAAAACTACTCAACACCATCTCTTCCATTAGATATTTTGTTGGCGTGTTAGATGAACCCTCTGGGCAAATGGAAGTCTACAATGCAGAATTGTTCAACTTGCATCCATTACTTTCAGGTAGGCAAAGCATGGCTTTTCTTATTTTAATTATTGGCATGGTTACCTGGAGTAGGAAAATGATTTTTTTTTAAATTTACTTATTTGTCCCCCTTAATTTTTGTATAAATAACTTAAGACAATTCAGAAGCCAGTGAACTTCTTGATGATGTCCTTTTTTTATACACAGCCATCAATCAATCAATAAAAGTTATTTACTGCTTCATATTTTTCCCTATGCAGGACTTGGGAGATGTTTTCCTTTATTGATTCATACAGAACTCACTGCCCTGAATGTTTAACAAGAACATTAGACACAATGCTCGTTCTGCTGTAGATTTTCAGAATACAAACGAAATTAAGTGGTACCAAATACTCCCAATCTGTAGAAAGCAACCCACAGAGTAGCTTCAATTCAAGTTTTCCTAATGCACTAGTTTTCTATAGAAAGGAATATTTAACATTTTAAAACGTTAATCCCCGAACTGCATTTGGAAATAGTAAATTCCTGGAAGAATGTACTGCATATTTTTTTCTGAATGTGTTCCCATCTCCTGGTCAGGATTTGAAAATTGGTTGATGGAGGAAAGATCTAGCTTTTAATAACATTTGTATCTTTGAAAAGAGGCTATCAGTTTTATCTGCCCTGCACTAACACAGCTCCTTTTACTAAGCATATATAATAATCCTTGATCAGAAGAATTTAAAAGAATGTGTTGATAATAGACAGCTAATATATCTTCTTTCCAAGAGTGCTTTAATACTGTTTGATTGGCACGATGGATGGATTGATGGATCAGGAGTCTTGTTGGTTCTGATTTTACTTTATTTCCTCTGTTGTTTTTCTTAATAGATGATGTAGCAGATAATGACCTGTCAGAATATTTGGCTAAATCCTATAGAGAGAAGGTATGTCAAGCAATTAGGATACTATGATTGGAAAATTTATTTTAATACCTTGCTGTATTAAAAGGACTTTAGATTTATTTATTTAAATTTGCCATGTAAATGGTAATCGTGTTGGAGTAAATTTTCAGCCATATTTTTTAAAAATGTTCTTATTCTGGACTATTTCTCCTTGTGGTTTCTCTTTGCTAGAATTTCAGCACACTTGCCCTTCTTAAATAATTTCAGTGTTTCGGTGAGAAAGGTTTCAGTCCAGTGTAAGTAAAAAATGAAAACTAGAACACTGTTTTTAAACTCTATTGATATTTCATCCCCCTCTCATTAGTCGTTTCTAATTTGAATGCTTAAATCCATGTTGAAGTCATTCTGCATGATTCATGCCCTTAAATAATGAATCTAGTTTGATGGGAGACCATTGCTCAATCTTGGAGCATATCCTTTCTATACAGGTGCTGCTCATTTAACCCGCCACTTGTTAAATGACCATTCAAACTTATGACGGTAGTGGTAGTTACATCTGGTCATCATCCTTGTAGCTGGCACAGCATCCCCACGTGATCAGGATTTGTAACCTTTCCTGCCATATTCCCACAAACAAAGTCAATGGGAAGCCAGCAGGAAGTCAGAAGTGATGGCCACATGAAGGCCTCATTTAACAACAACAACTGGGACAGCTGGAGCTGTTGTTGCTAAGCAGTGCAGTCACATGATTTTTCAGCTTACAACCTTGTGTCTTAACAATGGTGTTTCTGATTCCAATTAGCATTGTTAAGCGAGAACTACCTGTGCTGTATTTGGTCATTTTCCAGTTTCTCCAGATTAGGTGTGTTTTGGATAGCGCTGATGAAAGTGGCTTGGAAAAAGTCTGTTGCAGCAACAAGGTCAACAATTGATAAGACAGAATCCTACCGGAGGAACTTTTTATTCAGAATTAACTTTGGTCCTCATCTCATTGATCCTTGATAGCTTCAGGTCTCTATTTGAAAACCATGTGACCTCAAAGCCCCAGTATAGCAGTATACAAATTAATTCATGCAACTCCCTATGCAGTATATATTATTCTCATGTTGGCATTGTGTGAATTATTGACAGATACTGTACTTTCCTTTTGTTGTTGTTTTTTTTGCTTTTAGTAACCAAATCATTAATAATGATAATGCAAATGTAATGGTAAAAGAAAAAAATGAGATCATCCCACTGAAAAATAGGATCTTTCCCACAAAATGAAATCTTTCTAGAATATTGGGCTGTAATTAAATAGTAATACATTCTATAATTTCAGTGAAGCATCTCCCAAAGCTGCCACTGAATTTTATTGACATGTTGATGTGATTCCTCACATGAAAGTATTAACTTCACAAAGGAAAGAAATATTAAATATTAATAGTAATAGTAAATGACACACAAGTATTTAATATTTCTTTCCTTTATGTTAACATAAATTTTATTGCATTTAAAGGTAATGTAAATATAGTTTTTATCATCGCTTTATCCACATCTTTGTCCTGGTTCTGCTTACAACAGCAGATAAGTGTACAATATAAAGTTGGCTCCCATTTAAAATCCAGGTTGATGATAGTGAGCAGCTTTCTAGCAAACTTGATTGAATTTGCTATTTCAGCTGCCTCACTAAAAATGACTGTTAAAAAGAGCTTTTAAAAAAGCAGTTGAATCTAAAAGATAATTGATTACTTAGAAGACAACTGATATATTCTGTTTTCTTTCCCGCAAAATGAAGTTTGGAGGTGGATTTGGAGTAATGTTCTTCTAGGCCAGACATGTCAAACTCGTGACATCGCATGATGTATCAGAGCTTTTTCCCAATTGCCGGCAATGGGGTGGGCGCGATTTCCTGGTGACGCATCTGGCCGGCAGTTTGAGACCCCTGTTCTAGGCTGTCTTGTTATGGGCAGAAAAGAGCTTGACATTTTTAGTACTTTGTGTTCTTGCTAGCTGCCTCTAAGCTGAATTTCCCCTGCAAGACAGCCCAGTAGGAGTAGCACTTTGTAGCTTATACTGTATAGCAATCTCTTGATAATTTTACAGGTGGATCTCTGCATTGAAGCCTTTGGCACCAACAAACAGAGAAAAGCTTTGAATTCTCGGAGAATGAATGAAGTCAGAAAAGAGGTATTAAATAAAGCAGTGATTAAAGCTGCAGAAGATATCATAGAGACAAAAGGTGTTGCTGGTAGGTATCAAAAGCCATGAAGTAAAGAATTGGAGCTGTGTGCCAATCTAAGATCTCTCTTTTTTTAGTGTAAGAGAGAAGCGTATTGCTGGTTATGTAATTTATTTTGGGCGTAATCATAAAGTGACAACCTTGCATGCAAATGAGTCTCATCTATCTAAAAATAATTATTGAATGTTGAAAGGGCCTCTGTCCTGCCATTTACCTCCATATGATTCTCATCTAGGCAGCCCACTAATAATCTTCTTTCCATTATTTGAACCAGACCCTTTTTCGTTATTCCTCAAATTCTGGTATCCTACAATACCCCTGCAACTATCCACATCTTTTCAAATATAAATATCTCCAATAAAATCCTTTGTATCTTCAGTTTATAAGTAGCTGAATTACATATCCTTATTTATTGAACTGTGCCTTTCCAAACTGGGGTGTTTCTCCATGTGTTAGATTGCAGCTCTCATTTTAGAGTGCTCCAGCCAGTGTTGGTGATTAACTAACAGAGCATAGAAATGGATAGTACACAGATCTTACATTCCTTGCTGTTATTTCAGAATTTTCATCCTAGGAAAATTATACTTGACATTCTCTCTTTTGCTCTTTAGGAGAACCCTATTTTTTTTCCTCTCCCCTTTCTGAAAAACATTTGCATGATTTTATTTATTCATTGTTTTTATTAACATCCTTTGTTCCAACTAATATGTGGCCAATATTCTTAGGTGTTGTTTGGTAAGTATCTTGAATATTCACGTTATTTCATATTATTTTACTTTACCTTTGTTTCAGTGTTTTAACTGCAGTACTTTGTTCTAAACTGTTTTCTGAATGTCAGTACAGTAAGGCAGTCTGAAAATGATGGGAACTGTATTCCAACACATACAGAGAAAGTTGAGAAAGACTCTTTAATAATTAAGGTATTAACTTTTTTTTCAAATAAACATCCTGTTAAATAAATAAAATTTTTCTTTTTTTTTGTTTTCAAAGCATTGGTTCATGATGCAGCAGAAGATGAGAAAACTGATGTCTCCTTGGTTCTTCCTGTGTGCCATGAAGATGCTGAAAATCCAGAGGACGTCTACAAGTTTGAAGATAGTATCCTTTATAAGCAGAATAAAGTCTGAGAGAATGGACCTTAACATGAATATTAAAGAAAAAGTATGCCCTTTATTATTGAAGAGCACATGCAGAGAAAGACCACAAGTTCTATTGTGAACAACCTGAGTATCTAAAAACCATTGGACCAGGGAGTTAGGGAAAGGAAACAGTTGCCAAGAATTGTTACCTTCCTCATAAATGTCTCTGGAAACTCTTATCCTATACAGGAAAGAGAGAATTGTACTTAGTCACAGAGAAGAACTGGACAAGAAAGCTGATGTTTTTCTTCATTTTCAAAAAATCTAACCTGACAGTGTTCTCCTTTGTTTGCTGCATCACTGACACATTCATTCTAAACCCTTCTCTTCTGAATGTATGTTACCATCTTAAATCTTGCAGAGATAGTAAATACACATTGAAAGTCTTCCTTACCCTATAATTTCTGATGAATAGGGTGGGGATGAGGACAGGACAGGACAGGATAGGATAGGATAGGATAGAATTCCTTATTGGCCAAGTGTGATCGGACACAATGAATTTGTCTCTGGTTCATAAGCTCATAGTTTACATATAAACAGCAAGTAATAGGTCATAGGTCATAATCATAGTTACAATCATTAATCATAAGTTACAAACAACAATTGATAAATCATAAGAAACCAATAGGAGAAGACAGCAGGAAAGAAAAGATGAGAAATGACACAGTGTTGTGTGAATTAAGTGTTCAGCAGAGTGATGGCATTCTGATACGTTATTACAATTAGGTGGGAACTCTGAAGTTGTATGCCCAACAAATTTGGAGGATTCCAAGCTGGACAGGCTAGGAAAGCATTTATGCAGTTCAGATCACCATTTAGTTTCTTTCCTTTTGATTTGATTTAAGTAGATAAAAGCTTTGCTGTGCTACTGAGGAAAATATGTTTTAATTAATCCAGCATAAAGCTCTCTTATATAGATGAATGTAATGAAGGAAACTGTGCAATCTCAATACAGGTAGTCTTCAACTTATGATCAATCATTTAGCAGCTTTTTGAAGTTACGATGGACCTCCAAAAAATACATACAACATGATTGCAAAGTTCTAATGGCTGCAAGCATATATACCCTGCAGTCCCATGATTGCATTTTGGGCACTTTGCAATCAATTCACCTTTATGGCCATTTACATTGTCCAACAGTCACATGACTGCCTTTTTTTTTTTTTTTGCTGGTTTCTGGCATTTACTTTCAATTTTCTGCCCATTGGATAAAATAGATTTCCTTAACAGTTATATCATTCTCTTGGCACCTGGTATCTACTTAACATCTGCCACAAAAGTCATAAAATTAAGTGCAGTCATGGTGTGACCTTAACAACAGCAATGACTTACAACCATAATTCTGGACTCAGTTATGGTCATAAGTTGAGGACTACTCTTATAGTGGGTTTTTTTTTCCTTTTAATCAGAAGCTGTTTGTTCTTTTATCCTTAAGAGGATCTAGCCTCAATCCTCTGGTGTATAAGCTTCTGCTTTATATTGAGATTGCCTTGTTGAGTAGGAAATACCTGTCTAAAACATCCTAAATGTATCTCCAGTCATTTCACCTGCTGAATTTGAGGCACTTCAGGCTCCATCTGCAGTTTTCACGAACATAACCGCAGCTGACATTCACAAGATGACTGAAGAGAAAAGGTAAAGATTCTCCAAATACAATTTGGGACAAAGTATCAAAGTATTATTAATATAGTCTTTACATGATTTACATGGTTTGAAATAGAAATATAGTTAGCAATTAATTTTGTAAAGAAGGAACCAGTGCATCATATGTATCACTTGAAGACTGAAAGATCAAGGGATGGGTAAATACTCATGTGTGAACGGCCATTAGAATCTAATACAAATCCTCTGTTGCTTTTTGCCTTGAGGTGCTTTGCGCATTCTAATGAAGGCTCTCAAATGGCATGTACGATTTATCTTTCGTGATATTATTTTGTGGAATTAGTGTAAGAGTATTCTGAAGCAGTGTTTCTAAGGCCTCCCAGTTTGACAATGTGCCTGCCCCGAGTTAAAAGAAAATGTACAGGAAAACACTTCTCTAAGGTGTTCATGATTTTATTCTTGTGGTATCATATATCATTTGAAATTGAATATCTGCATAATTCTCCTGTCTATGTGGGTTGTTTTTAGGAAAGTAAGAGGCTGCCCTTATCCAAAATAAGAGCATTTGTCTGCTTAGTATAATGCTGCTCAATATTGCCTACTCTGAATGGAAAGAATTTTCCACAATTTCAGATGGACCTCTTTCCAGCCAGTCTTTCCTGTTGTAAGGACTACCGGTGTAGTCCTTACGTTCATTTAGTGACCGTTCAAAGTTTACAACAGCATTGAAAAAAGTGACTTATGACCATTTTTCACAGTTAGGACTATTGCAGCTTCCCCTCGGTCACATGATTTATATTCAGATGCTTGACAATTGACTCACCTTTATGACGGTTGCAGTGTCCTGGGGTCACGTGATCACCCTTTGCCACCTTCTGACAAGCAAAGTCAATGGGGAAACCTGGTTCACTTAACAACTGTGTTATTAATTTAACAGCTGCAGTGATTCAGTCAACAAATGTGACAACAAAAGTCATAAAATGGGGCAAAATTCACTTAACAAATTTCTCACTTTGCAACATAAATTTTGGGCTTAATTTGGTCGTAGGTTGAGGACTACCTGTAGATGCCAGAGACTAAATATGGGTCCTACTGCATATAAAACTAATCAACCATTTCTCAGCTACCACTCTCCACCTTTTTGATTTTTTGGGGATGGAGAACATGCCTTTACTTGGATGTATATATGGGTAGGACGTTCCCTTGTAAGTGTATAAAAGAAGGAATTATTAGCACTGGTTGTGCCTGAGCTGCAAAGAGAGGAAAAGGAAAAAGAGAAAGGAACGTACATCTATTGCTACAATACTTCTAGTCCAGAAATGCAGATTGAGGATCCACCTATTTAAATCTGAGCAAAATATATACTGCAGCAGGTAATATGTAGTAGATTGTGCTGTGTCTAAAGGGAGACGGTTTCTGTTGATATAAATTTGATCGCTTTCGATCCACACAGAATTTTGTCATCTTAACAGCAGCTGAAATTGCAGCTCTTGCTAGCTACTTCCTAACTGCTTTTTGAGGCGTAAAACAAATCTTTTCTGTCTTGCTTAGCTACTGTTCCTTTGTCTTGGATGAACTTAAATCCATGCCTTTGAATGAGAAGAGTTACGATCACAAAGCACGTTGCCTCTGGTTTCTTGACTGTCTTGTCAAGCTGAACTCACAAAAGGTCGTTAAAAAGAAACGTAAGGATTTTTTTCCCCTCCCTGATGTCAAATATATTTTTGTTTATTTATTTGACTTATATCCTGCTTGCTCGCCAGGAGTTCAATTGTACATAATGTTCCTCCTCCTATTTCTCTCCACAACAAATTTGTGAGCTAGAGTGGATAGAGAGAGAGAATTGCCCCCAAATCAGCCACTGCACTTCCATGTATGAGTATGAGGAAGACTTGAACCCAGGCTTCCCAATCCTAGTCCAAAACCTTTACTATTACACCACACTAGCTCTCATTATAGCCTAATCCTTGGGGAAAATTAAATCAGAAAAGGTAAGTGGTTATTTTTGCCTTCCATCTGTAATGAAGTCCGACTCTTAGAAATTTCAGTTAGCTGGAAATAGAGGCCAGAACACCTCATGCGCTCCAATTGGCGAAAGCCTAATGTAATTTGATTTGTATAATTTTCAGGCAGTTTAACACATCTTTTAGATTTCTTTAAAATGTATAGGGAGCATGAAGACAGTATAAAATGCCCAGTTCAATTCTGTATTGATTGATTGATTTGATTTTTTTACTTCTGTTCAGTCATGTCCAATGCTTGGAGACTGCCTGGAGAAATCCCTGCAGTTTTCTTGGCAAGGTTTTTCAGAAGTGGTTTGCCATTGCTTCCCTCCTATGGCTGAGAAAGATAGTTTTGTGCCCAAGGCAGGACTAGAACTCACAGTCTCCCAGTTTCTTGTCTTATGCCTGAACCGCGACACCAAACCAGCTCCTTAGTAGCATGGCGCTGACTGTTCTAACTGTGAAATAGACATCAAAATGGCTTATATTGAAGTTAGGCTATTTTTTTCACAAGCTTAGAGTAGCTAATTGTATACTTGGACTGAGAGGTTTCAAGATTGGGATGTACTAACATCAAAATATTTTGTAAACCTCTATGAAGGGAATCAGCATATCGAAATGACAAGGTTTTATTGCAGTGTAGGCAGCGGCCTATAGAGCATCCTGAGCTAAAAAGAACCATCTATAAGTAGACATTGGAGTACACACTTTATGCTTCATTTCTCACTTAGGGGCAATAAATGTTTTCAGTTCTTATTGTAAGATCCTGTGAAACGTAACAGATTTTTCTGAAAATTTAAGGTTGGAATTTCTACAAACCTCATGACTTTTATGCAATGTTTGGGTTATTTTTTACAACTTCAGCCTTTTAATCATGAAGAGGGCAATGGATTCTGTTCTCTTACCCCCTCTTGATCCTACTGAACTCCAATTTGCTCTTCTGCAGTCTTACCAATTTGCTATACTTTCACCTATATTTGGTAATTGGTTTTTCTTAAAATGAAAATTGATAATTCTTAAGATTGTGTATTCTGCCATGTTTTCTGTGTCCAGTATTCTGTTTGTTTACAATGTCTTCAGTTTGTACTATGCAGACTCCTCTGGTCATTCTGATTCTTATTTGGATTGGAGATTTGGAGGATTTTGGAACACTTAACTTTTTTATTTCCAACTTTAGATGCCATGGGCCCCACTTGTCCAGACATCATCAGCAACAAACTCGTGAAAACTTTCACAGCACTATCTTATGGCAATGGCAGGTAAAAAAAAAACAACAGCCCTTTGATTTCAAGTCTAGTAAAAGGTATAAATTTATAAATAGGTTTATTAATGAATTGGTTTATTATACTTTAGAGACTTACAAAATCATACACCATTGCTTAAAAAGAAATAGCATGCAAAATATGCTTGAAATCAAAAGAAAACAGATGTGTCTCTTTATTTCAAATATATTCTATACAGGAGGATCATGCCAAGAAACGGCTCAGAAATCCTTAGTAGTTGCAATTAACTGAAATGTACATATGTTTATTCTTAAAAAAAGAGAATATAAGGAAACACAATGAGAATAAAAGGCAATTCATATAATTGTTATTTTCCTTTTTGCATCTGATGTATTTTTAATAATCCCATGGAAGGGAAACCTCTTTTAACATTAAAGAACTATATTAGAGAACATTATTCAGAAGTACCATCTCCCAGCTCTGTGCCCTGTCAGGGTTCAGGATTAAGATTATCTCTGTTTTTACTACCTGTGTTTCCCCGAAAATAAGATGGGTCTTATATAACTTTTTGCTCCAAAAGATGCATTAGGGCTTATTTTCCGGTTAGGTCTTATTTTGGGGAAAATATGGTACTAAATGCGTCCGTCTGGCTGACAATCTTAACTGGAGCTTATTTTGGGGCTAGGGCTTACATTACAAGCATCCTGAAAAATCATGCTAGGGCTTATTTTCAGGGAAACGGGGGTAAGTAACTTCCTCTCCCATTTTAAGAAAAAAAGAGTGTATAAAATAGTAAGCAATTAATGTCTTATTCCATTTCAAGCTGCCTTATTTTTGTTGATAAAAATAGTTTTGTGCTGTTTTTAATTGGGCTTTTCTGATGTATATAGTTAAAAGTTGTGGAATGGAAATTATGATTATTAGGCAAAAGATTATGACTGTTAGGCATAAAGGTTTTGTGCAGAAACTTTAAAGCTCTATTTTGTAACTATTGGAAATCTTTTTTTTTATTGAAAAGTTTTATAAAAGTTACAATATATATCCCAAAGCCCACCCACCCTAAAAAAAAACCCTCCCTCCCCCACTTCCCAGAGCTGAGTACAGGGTTACAAATATAGTAATCATACTCTAACTAACATTAACCAACTATATAAATAACCAAGTCCATAATGTGCTTTAACTCCATATAAACAAATTAAAAGTAAACATAATAATATAAACAAGTTAATATCCTAATTATTAAACAATGCAATATCCAAATTGTTAAACAATACTAATACTAAAAATAATAAAACTAATAAAAATTTTACTATAATAAACTATTAATAATAATAATACTCTAAAATTTATTCATAAACTAGATGGAACTTTTTAGTCCCATATTTATTCTGAATATAATCTATCCATCTTCTCCAGACTGAAATGTATCTTTCTTGTGAGTGATCCTTCAGATAAGCAGAAATCTTAGCCATTTCTGCTAAATTTGACACCTTAAGCGTCCATTCTTCTATAGTAGGCAAACAATCCTTCTTCCAATATTGCCCTACCAATAACCTTGCAGCTGTTATCAAAACTATTGGAAATCTTAAGAGTTTCCTGAGACCCTGTTTAGTGAAATGGTTAAAGGCACAAGGCTAGAAATAAGGAGACCATGTGTTCTGGTCCTGCCTTGGACACAAAACTAGCTGAGTGACTTTGGGCTAATCACTCTCTTTCAGCCCTAAGAAGGAGGCAATAACAAATCATTTCCCAGATGTAGCCAAGAAAACTTCAGGGACTGGTTCAGCCATTTTCTAAGAGTCAATACTGATTTAAAGGAACATGCTGTATTTTGTATAAATGAGTCCCATATTTTATTTTACTTATCTACATATACATCTATAGCCAATCCACTCATAGGTTGTAATTGAAGAAGAATAATACAAAATGAAACATCTAAAACAGAGATGCTTACATTATACAGGCGGTTGAATTTGTATTCTGCTGGCACAAAATACTATGCAGAATGTAGAAAACTGTCATCTTTTTATTTTACTGCTTTCTAGGAGGGTGTAGAAAGAATATAGTAGCAAGGTTGCATAGTTTTTGTACTATGGTTTTCTTATCCTTTTTTCCCATTTTGTCTTTCAGGTTACAAAATGTAATTTCAGCTTCAATGAAAGTTAAGATAACAGCATACGTTATAACCCTGGCTTTGCATATTAACAATTTTCAAACAGATCTGACAGTCTTGCAGCGAGATCTGAAATTACGTGAAAACAAGTATGATTAATAGCACAATTGTATTTTTCATCTATTCTCTTACTAATGGACTAAGAACTGACTTTTGAGGTGTGCCTAGAAAACCATATGCTCCCCCATTATTTTGGGATAGTCTTCCCCAACCTTCCAAATGTTCTAGACTACAATGCCCATATCTTCCATTCAGTAGATTCTGCAGTTGTGACTGGGAATTATAGGGATTGTAATTAACATTCCTAAGAATCAGGCTGACATTTCTCTCTTAAAAGGGAAAACATTTTTTTTCCTAATCTTTAGAAATAGTGATAAATTAATGGTTGTTTTTTTTTTCAAAAGCACCCTTATGATTAAGTTCAACAAATGAATGTCTACAGTAGTTCCTTGGTCTTGTATATATTGTTTCTGGAACACCAGAGAAGCCAGATAACAAGGCAAAGAATGGGACAGGCGAAAACAGTTGGCTCATTTCAATATCTTCCTTGGGGCAGATTAAGTATGATTATAACTTGAACTAGAGGAGACAAACAAGGGCTATGCAGAACAAGATGGCAAGTATGGAAACTAACTGTATGGTGTCCTTTAGTACAAATTCTGTTTTCTCCTACATGAGGGGGTAACATTCAGTCCTGGAAGAAAAATAAAATAGCATTCTAATGCTGTGTATATCCCATCCTTAGGTCCTATAACTCTAGAAAATTCTGACTGAAATACATTAAATTTTAGCAAGATCAGTATGCTATGTTTTTTCTATGAGCCAATATTGCATGGTAGGAAAAGGGGGTCTCTTAGTTCTCATGCTGGATAACCAGCCTGTCTTGCTTCTAAAGTCTCAGTAGGAAAGTATCCATTGGAACTTCCCTTTGAAGCCATATCAAGTCAAATCCCAGATCACGTCTTTCACACCAACAAAGCACATAAATTGCTAGGAAAGATAATCAAGAATGCTAATTGGTAATGTGTGTTTATGGAGATAATCAAAGAGGGCTGCTATTGGAACCACACATTAAGTACCAGTTAAGATGACTTATTGCTCATGCCTACAGTATACACAAGAATCTAGTCAGTTAACGCTAAATTAGCTCTAGATAAGAGTTAAGGGAACTCAACTTAAGACCGTTGTGGGAACGTAACGACTCCAGGCTGATCATTCTCTTGACTCCATCCCCCAGGCTCTGCCTGCAGATTACATTCCTATCGCCATATTTGCCATATGGTAGTCCTCGTTTAGTGACTGCCTTAAGGACCATTCACACTTACAATACAGTAACTTTACTACAGCCAATCCTTGAATTTACAGTCTTTGTGTATTTGTTAAGCAAAGGAAAGCTTAAGTGACATCATTAGTGCCTGTTTCACTTGGCAACCACTTTGTCCACTTTGCTGGTTCCAGTTGTGGTCACTAAACAAAGTCTACCTATACCTTCCCCCTTCACATCTGACAGACAGAATTCCCTTGCCAACAACTTCCCCCTCACATTTGACTGCATCCTGTTTTAGGCTCAACCTTTTTAATGTTTGTAATCAAGTGAAATGGCCTCTATGACCTGCTAGGTGGTTATTGATTGGACTGTCATAAAGTAAATGCTTCGAATAAGTTTCTTGGCAGAGTGCAAAGAGGAAGTACTCTCGAAACTCAGCGTTTGTATAAAATATACTGAAATCTAATTGAAAACATTAGAGAGAGAGAGAGAGAGAGAGAGAGAGAGAGAGAGAGAGAGAGAGAGAGAGAGAGAGAGAGAGAGAGAGAGAGTGAAAGATATAAATCCTAGAAGTAGTTGGTCAGGCTAAAGTATCCACTTGGAAGTCCTGATTTGGGGTCTGAAAAGAGTGGTCAGTGACTGATTGCAGTTGTGACATATTTACCCTCTACCAGCAATTTAATTCAGCCAGGCTTAGTCAGCGTCTCCCATCTCTCAGGTGATGAAAAAAGTATAACTAAAATTGTAAAATCAGGTTGGTTGACCCATATAACTTGAGGACTATCTATATTTCATGCAAGAGGTCAGTGGTGAATTATGGGGGAAATGGTGTAATTCTGTCCAGTAAAAATACAAAAAGCAAAACTAAAATGCTGGGTGGTAATTTTTTTATACCGCATCAAGGAATGGGGGACGTTTTGTTTTCCATTTTTCAGAAACGTTTTGGGTAGAATATTGTTGCTTCTGGCAGTCTTCTCCAGTCTCTAGCTATGTTGATCTGCAAGTCCCATCAAGTCCAATTCATCAGGAAGCCTCTGGTTGGAAGGGCTGACTTAAAGCTTGGCTTTTCTTCAAACATGATAGGCTCTTGATTCAATTAACATCTTGCCTTGCTTTGTGGAAAGAAAAGTGCTGGCATACGCAAAACCCCCAATTCTTTAGCCTGAGGAGTTTAGAATGTAAGTTTTGGTTTTAATCTGACAGTCAAAAGGGGGAAAGGAACAGGAAAAGCCAAAGTCACAAACTGTGAAGAGAAGACTGCTAAAAGAAGAAGAAACTCTTTGAGCAGAACAGTTTTTATAACTAACATTTTCTCTCTTTTAATGCAGAATACTTGACATCGCCAAGGCATTGAGATTGAAGATCAGCAAAAGCAAAAACCTCTCTAGACTTGAAGAACACAAGTTAGGGACACTGTGCTTGCCTTTACCTGCGCACAAAATGCCCGCACGCGGCAGGAAACGCAAACTAAATTAAGAATGCTTTTTTCCTCTAGAAAAAAGCTGGACAAACTTCTAGATCAGTGGTTCTCAACCTTTCTAATGCCGTGACCCCATAATACAGTTCCCCATGTTGTGGTGACCCCCAACCACTTATACATCACTGGGAGCCAGGGGTGTGGCCAAAGAAAAGGGGAAAAAATGGCGGACAGCCTTGTTTGGCAACCCCCGTAAAATGGTCGTTCGACCCCAAATGGGGTCCCGACCCACAGGTTGAGAACCACTGTTCTAGATCATGTGAACAGATCTACCGCTTCATTGTCCTGAACAGACTGGAGAGATTTGTTCTTGTAGTTATACAGGTTTGTTTCTGCTTTGAGGTAGTTTAGCAGAAATCTGGCACTTTTATTGAAGTCATTTAGGATATCTGAACATTTGGCATCTTGGTTCAAAACAGCCATGTAGGAATCCTCCATCCATGTAAAAGAGTTAAAATGTGAGCATGACTGAATATTTAAAATATTTAATATTAAAATTAAATATTTTAATGTTTAAAATGGTCCTTATGTTTTTGGTAATATTAAACATTTTTTAAAAATTATCTGCGCTCAAATCATCTTCATTTAATTATGTATTTTGTTGTATCATTCCCAATTAATTTTTCTACGGCTCTTGGGTTAATTTCTAGGCTCCTTTCAGCTTTTTAATCTATTTTTTTAACAGAAATGCAGTTGAAGATTCATCTGTTTTTTTTTAAAGCAGTGTATGGTTTGAACAAGGTGAATGATCTAAAGTGATACATTTTGACTTCTGATCAGGGCATTGAAAGCAGGCAATTGCTATAAAGAAGCGAGGTGATATACCAATCTTCTCCAATCTGGTCACCTATAAACATATTGGGCCTCAACTGTCGTAATGTCTAGCTGACACAACTGAATAAATGTTGATACAGCAATCCAGACTTATTTATTAAGGCAGTTTGCTTCTTAAGGACTGGAGATCTATCTTCTGTCCCTTGGTCTTTCCCACACTGTACCTTATATCCCTTCTCCCTAATGCCCAGAGTCTGTTCTCAAATTCCTACTAGATGAACCATGTTTTATAAACAGACAAACAACACTTACATGCGCACATTATATTTGGCTGACGTTGGTCTGTTACTAACAGTTTTTATGATGGGCTGGGGTTATAAATAGTACTAATAAAGGCAAGTTTCTCTAAACTGAATTTTGGGGGCATGTGCAATATCTGACTTCTTCCCTGATTCTCACATCTCTCTCACACAAACAACTTGCAGAACGCTTAAGGAATTTCTTTTCATTATGCAGTTAACTGAAGACACAGGAACCCTGTTATTCTTTGCCTCTTATCACCTTCCATACTGTATCAGGAAAAAAATAAATAGGCAAAATCTCTGCATTTAAAATATTTTTTTTTATTTTGTAGTACACAGTTTTTCCTTTATAAAACTTCAAAGACTAGTTTGCATTTCTTTTAACAAGATATATGTTAAACAAGATAGTAGATTATCATCCATTCCCAGTTATAAGCTTAAACATATTAGTGGTCAGTTCCAGTTCAGCTAAAATGCTTTAAGAAGTGATCTATGGCTCAAATGCACTGTGTTGCTGACAGCGCACTCTCATGTCTACTAGGAAGTGAGACTAACAGAGTTTACTACCAGGTGTGCGCTATAAAATTTCAGCTTAAAAGTCAAAGAACCAAGGCAATTAAGTTAGATCTATTTTTTTAATAAGACATTCAATTGATTGTTTACAGTGGGCTGAGAACCACCAATGACTTGTCTCAATTATAACTCACGAGGGAGTACATCGTACTGGGAATATTGATGTTGAATTCACAATCTGTGGTAGTTAGAAAAGCCACATCTATTAAGTAAAAAGTTTCTGATCTTGCAACAGTAGGCATTAGTTGATTCTCTCTACTCCTTCCTTAAGAAGGCTAAGAGAATTGGAAACGAGCTTCAGACAGAAGGCCTAACTGGCAGTTTTTTCCACTTTCTACTCATGGAAATGCTTTCTGCGCCTGAAAAACTGGATCCAGCCCTGTAAAAATACTTCATGCTTGCTTATTTTGCTGACTTGCAGCTTAAGCCAATGCATATTTATTCCAAAATGGAATAGTTACAGTTGGACTTTCCTATGTGTGCATAGATTTCAGTCCCAGCTACAAAAATTTTTACAAAACTATTCTAGTTGTAGATCACAACTTTTAAAAAAGGTTTTTTTAAACAATTATCCATACATATAACAAAACCGTAAGTCCATGTGAGATAACATTCTCTTTTCTCTTTTATTAACATTGCTTCTTTTTTAAAGCCTCCTGTTTTTACGGTTTTCTAGGAAATGATGAGCAAATGATGAGTAAACATACATAACAAAGGAGAAACTAAGCAGTACAGGGTCTTTATTCCCGGTTCAGCCTCTGGCATCCTCAACTTTAAAAAGGATAAAGTAGCCTAAGATCCTACTCTAGCTGCTATGACTGGAGTGAACAGGACTGAATTTTCTATATGTGATACAAGGCAAAATTCTATGCCCCATAGAAACTCAGTAGTATTTATAAATGTGTGTTATTACAGCCTGTTGGCTATCTCAAGAGCACTGTCTTATATTCTGACAACAGAAGATGTAACTGAATAAAACAAAATGCTATTGTCTCCTAATCAAGTGCTCCTGACCGTTGTTCTACCAGGGATCAATTACAGCTTATCAGCTGAGAGCTAGTGAGATTTATTTCCATGCTACAAATGCAGCTTAGTGGCAGCGTGCACTACATTAGACTTGGCTTCAGATCAACAGAGACCCTCACAGTCTCCTCTGAAATATAAAGTCAACAAGAGTTCCTTTTTTCAGTTTCTGTCCTATAATTCTGTCCTTTCTCCCTGAGCCAGAGTTGATGTGGCAATAACATGCTCATTGAATAGTACATACTACCTCCATAACCTTACTAGAGCAGCAATCACACTCTTTTCATTTTGAACACTTGTTTTAGTTACAGTTGTATGGCAGACACAAATGGATTCTTCTTTGAGATCCTGAGATTTTTACTTACTGCATTATTGCTTGCCACATAACTGTTAAACATGTACAAGCTCTGGGAAGTAAAGAAAAATGACAAGGCTACTTCACTTTGGTCCTTTTAAAATACCTCCATTACTTATCCTCAAGAATCTCATTAAATAAACTCCAAGATATAAACTTGCTGAGTTACCATATCTTACTTCCTCTAAGATATTAGGCTGACAAAAGGCAATCACTCAGAGACTCTAGACCAGGGATAGGCAACCTTGGCTCTTTTATGACTTGTGGACTTCCAACTCCCAGAATTCCTGAATCAGCATGGCTGGTTCAGGAATTCTGAGTATTGAAGTCCACAAGTCATAAAAGAGCAAGGTTCCCTACCCGTGCTCTAGACCAGGAGTAGGCAACCTTGGCTCTTTTATGACTCATGGACTTCAACTCCCAGAATTCCTGAGCCAGCCATGCTGAGGCGAAATGGAGAGGTTTCCAAGCTGAGCCATGCTGGCTCAGGAATTCTGGGAGTTGAAGTCCCTGAGTCATAAAAGAGCCAAGGTTGCCTACCCCTGGTCTAGACCAATGAGTTCCAAGAAATAGCTTGCCCAGGAATTTTTTTTTTAAATTAATACACACAGGTCGTCCTCAATGTATGACCACAATTGAGCCCAAAATTTCTACTGCTAAGCAAGAGAGTTGTTAAAGAGAGTTTTGCCCCATTTTACAACCTTTTTTGTCACAGTTGTTAAGTGAATCACTGCAGTTAAGTTAATAACCCGGCTGATAAGCGAATCTGCCTTCCCCACTGACTTTTCTGATCAGGCCGCAAAAGGTGATCCTGAGATGCTGCAACCATCGTAAGTACAAGCCAGTTGCCAAGCATCTGAATTTTGATCATGTGACTAAGGGGATGCAATGGTTGTGTGAAAAATGGTCATAAATTACTTGTTTCAGTGCTGTTGTAAGTTTTTCAGTGGTTGTAAGTCAAGGACCACCTGTATTTAGGTGTTTGCAAAGGCAACCCCACCACCCAGTTTTGAGGGATCTTATTTTCTTCCCAAAAACCCCCACTATCCTACTATATTTTGATAAGAGTTCTAACTTATCTCTGCTTTATGTAATTTTACATATATTTTGCCATATTCCTGATCTAATACTCCAGAACCTTAAACAATGTTTATATGTCTATGGGTATTTCCACTTTGCTATTTTCAATGGGACTTACTACTAGATAAATTATATATATGCTCCCTTTGTGTGTATTGGATGACAACACCAATCATTGCAAAAACATGCTGCTTTGGATGATACGTTCAGCACATCTAGAAGGCACCAGATGGGAGTAAGCAATCATAAACAACAGCCAAAACGGCTCTTTTCAACATAGAAGAAAGCAACTCTTGTTTCTGGAATAAAAGGAAATTATTTTCAAGCTATGTCAGGAAACTGGTGCCAAGCAGGCCAATAAATAGGTCAAGGCACTCAGGATTTCAATGACATTAAACCAAGTGGCTTTTTGGCAAATCGCTAAAAGAATGTAAGCTTAAGTGAATCTACATCCACTCCTTACCTACACATTATTCAAATCAGGGGTCCCCAACCTGTGGGCCATGGCCCATTATTGGGCCATGACCGCTTGGCCACCGGGCCGCATGAAGGCCGCCCTGAGCATCCCGTTAGCACTAGCGCCACTCTGCCCCCAAGCATCCCACCGGCACTAGCACCGCCCCGAGCATCCCGCCAGCACTAGCACCGCCCCGCCCCAGTGTCCCACCGACCCTAGCGCCACCCTGAGCATCTTGCTGGCATTAGCGCCGCCCTGCCCCGAGCGTCCTACCAGCATTAGCACTGCTCCGAGCATCCTGCTGGCGCTCGCGCCGCCCCAAAGCGTCCCACTGGCACTAGTGCCGCCTATAGCATCCCACCAGTGCTAGCACCGCCCCATTTTCAGCACTCGCGCCCGCACAGCCGTTTGCACTTATGCACGCACTTGTGTGCGGCCATTTGCGTGTGTGCAGTGGCTCACGGCCCTTTGTGTGTGCGCGCAGGGCTCATTTTTATGCACAGACATGGCCCATTTGGGCATGCACACGTAGTGGTGCCTGTCTCCCTTTCCGGGCCATCAAACCAAAAAGGTTGGAGACCTCTGATTTAAATAACAAATGATGTTGTATTTGTCAGAAAGGATAAATTCCTTCTGATAATATTGCTTGCCTCTGCACATCACCTCCACTTTAAGCCACATTGCTTTTGTGAAAGGTATTAACTGAAACTGAGAGAGGAACGGAAGGTAAAATGATTATCTGGGAATTTAACATCTCACACGGAAGAGAACTTTCTCCTCCTTTGCAACTATTCCTTTTGGAAAACTGTAGGAGGGAAAAATGCAGGTGGCTGACTCTCAAATGCCTTTGTGACATCACAGTTATTAGGCCAATTCCCTCCCTTGGTCAGACATGATTCTGAATAATCAGGTCGACAAAGGAAAGGGATAAGCAGGCATAACAGCAACCTTTTGATGCTACAAAAATACCACTTTCTAAGGAATGAACCATGCCTGGTG